TTCGGATGCACATCGTTTGTTGCTACTTCGAAGAATTTATTGACGAAAATGCCTTAATTGTCATTAGTGATTTCACAGCTGTTAGTGAGTTCGAATGACAAGCTAGCAATCGAATCCAACTTGATTTGAAAACAGTTGTAAAGTCGAACTTGTAATGAAAATTACAATTCCGAATTGGAGTCAGTTAAATATATGCTGTGGAGTTTATTTTCACTACAGAGTAACGGTCGCAAATTGAACGTAGCAAAAATGATTTTGAACTGACAATAACACACGAAATGTGTGTTATTTTGGAACTCGATATGTTTCAGTGCACTGTTTGCAGCTTAAGCTTTGACAGTTGGTGAAAGGGTTTTACCAATTATTTCTACTTCGGATTACATGATTATTTTTCTAGTTAATTGAGTTAGATTTCCACAAATATTTTATGACGACTGATATATTTGGGAATCCTGTTGTTTCTATTCGATGTAATGCATGACATTTTTCGAATATGGTGTAAGTTGCAACGGTGAGTCAGATTGAACGTCGAGTCTTATTTCATTGTGAGCACTTTTACATGCGTGATATTTCTTCCCACTACACAGTAGGACAACTCACTTATCAACTGTTAGAGAAACTTCATTCTCTCATCCCACTGAATTCGCATACAGCCAACATCGGATAGACATACTTTGTTTAGCATTCTGGTTAAGTCTGTAATTTTGCCAATCAAGTCGTCAGGAAACTACTCAATGTCAGATTGAGTATGAAATATACAAGGTTGAAACAGAGATGACATGCTAGAGAAGCGGATAGGCGAACTAGAGTTTATATAAGCCGATGACCGGAACTGTCGAGAAAATCACTGTGTTCGAGCAGTGAGACGCAGATCAACGTAAAATGTAACCAAAATGTTAAGCAAAGTACGTCTATCCGATGTTGGCTGTATGCGAATTCAGTGGGATGAGTGAATGAATTCTGTCCAACAGTTGATAAGTGATTTGTCCTACTGTGTAGTGGAAAGAAATATCACGCATGTAAAAGTGCTGACATTGAAATGAGACTCGACTGTGTCCACATCTAGTAGTTTGGCATTTTTATTAGATACAGTATAATCGACTAAACATGGTAAATTATTAATGGTGCAATAGGAAAGAAAGCATGCATCATACTGATTCGGATGCACATCGTTTGTTGCTACTTCGAAGAATTTATTGACGAAAATGCCTTAATTGTCATTAGTGATTTCACAGCTGTTAGTGAGTTCGAATGACAAGCTAGCAATCGAATCCAACTTGATTTGAAAACAGTTGTAAAGTCGAACTTGTAATGAAAATTACAATTCCGAATTGGAGTCAGTTAAATATATGCTGTGGAGTTTATTTTCACTACAGAGTAACGGTCGCAAATTGAACGTAGCAAAAATGATTTTGAACTGACAATAACACACGAAATGTGTGTTATTTTGGAACTCGATATGTTTCAGTGCACTGTTTGCAGCTTAAGCTTTGACAGTTGGTGAAAGGGTTTTACCAATTATTTCTACTTCGGATTACATGATTATTTTTCTAGTTAATTGAGTTAGATTTCCACAAATATTTTATGACGACTGATATATTTGGGAATCCTGTTGTTTCTATTCGATGTAATGCATGACATTTTTCGAATATGGTGTAAGTTGCAACAGTGAGTCAGATTGAACGTCGAGTCTTATTTCATTGTGAGCACTTTTACATGCGTGATATTTCTTCCCACTACACAGTAGGACAACTCACTTATCAACTGTTAGAGAAACTTCATTCTCTCATCCCACTGAATTCGCATACAGCCAACATCGGATAGACATACTTTGTTTAGCATTCTGGTTAAGTCTGTAATTTTGCCAATCAAGTCGTCAGGAAACTACTCAATGTCAGATTGAGTATGAAATATACAAGGTTGAAACAGAGATGACATGCTAGAGAAGCGGATAGGCGAACTAGAGTTTATATAAGCCGATGATGGAACTGTCGAGAAAATCACTGTGTTCGAGCAGTGAGACGCAGATCAACGTAAAATGTAACCAAAATGTTAAGCAAAGTACGTCTATCCGATGTTGGCTGTATGCGAATTCAGTGGGATGAGTGAATGAATTCTGTCCAACAGTTGATAAGTGATTTGTCCTACTGTGTAGTGGAAAGAAATATCACGCATGTAAAAGTGCTGACATTGAAATGAGACTCGACTGTGTCCACATCTAGTAGTTTGGCATTTTTATTAGATACAGTATAATCGACTAAACATGGTAAATTATTAATGGTGCAATAGGAAAGAAAGCATGCATCATACTGATTCGGATGCACATCGTTTGTTGCTACTTCGAAGAATTTATTGACGAAAATGCCTTAATTGTCATTAGTGATTTCACAGCTGTTAGTGAGTTCGAATGACAAGCTAGCAATCGAATCCAACTTGATTTGAAAACAGTTGTAAAGTCGAACTTGTAATGAAAATTACAATTCCGAATTGGAGTCAGTTAAATATATGCTGTGGAGTTTATTTTCACTACAGAGTAACGGTCGCAAATTGAACGTAGCAAAAATGATTTTGAACTGACAATAACACACGAAATGTGTGTTATTTTGGAACTCGATATGTTTCAGTGCACTGTTTGCAGCTTAAGCTTTGACAGTTGGTGAAAGGGTTTTACCAATTATTTCTACTTCGGATTACATGATTATTTTTCTAGTTAATTGAGTTAGATTTCCACAAATATTTTATGACGACTGATATATTTGGGAATCCTGTTGTTTCTATTCGATGTAATGCATGACATTTTTCGAATATGGTGTAAGTTGCAACAGTGAGTCAGATTGAACGTCGAGTCTTATTTCATTGTGAGCACTTTTACATGCGTGATATTTCTTCCCACTACACAGTAGGACAACTCACTTATCAACTGTTAGAGAAACTTCATTCTCTCATCCCACTGAATTCGCATACAGCCAACATCGGATAGACATACTTTGTTTAGCATTCTGGTTAAGTCTGTAATTTTGCCAATCAAGTCGTCAGGAAACTACTCAATGTCAGATTGAGTATGAAATATACAAGGTTGAAACAGAGATGACATGCTAGAGAAGCGGATAGGCGAACTAGAGTTTATATAAGCCGATGACGGAACTGTCGAGAAAATCACTGTGTTCGAGCAGTGAGACGCAGATCAACGTAAAATGTAACCAAAATGTTAAGCAAAGTACGTCTATCCGATGTTGGCTGTATGCGAATTCAGTGGGATGAGTGAATGAATTCTGTCCAACAGTTGATAAGTGATTTGTCCTACTGTGTAGTGGAAAGAAATATCACGCATGTAAAAGTGCTGACATTGAAATGAGACTCGACTGTGTCCACATCTAGTAGTTTGGCATTTTTATTAGATACAGTATAATCGACTAAACATGGTAAATTATTAATGGTGCAATAGGAAAGAAAGCATGCATCATACTGATTCGGATGCACATCGTTTGTTGCTACTTCGAAGAATTTATTGACGAAAATGCCTTAATTGTCATTAGTGATTTCACAGCTGTTAGTGAGTTCGAATGACAAGCTAGCAATCGAATCCAACTTGATTTGAAAACAGTTGTAAAGTCGAACTTGTAATGAAAATTACAATTCCGAATTGGAGTCAGTTAAATATATGCTGTGGAGTTTATTTTCACTACAGAGTAACGGTCGCAAATTGAACGTAGCAAAAATGATTTTGAACTGACAATAACACACGAAATGTGTGTTATTTTGGAACTCGATATGTTTCAGTGCACTGTTTGCAGCTTAAGCTTTGACAGTTGGTGAAAGGGTTTTACCAATTATTTCTACTTCGGATTACATGATTATTTTTCTAGTTAATTGAGTTAGATTTCCACAAATATTTTATGACGACTGATATATTTGGGAATCCTGTTGTTTCTATTCGATGTAATGCATGACATTTTTCGAATATGGTGTAAGTTGCAACAGTGAGTCAGATTGAACGTCGAGTCTTATTTCATTGTGAGCACTTTTACATGCGTGATATTTCTTCCCACTACACAGTAGGACAACTCACTTATCAACTGTTAGAGAAACTTCATTCTCTCATCCCACTGAATTCGCATACAGCCAACATCGGATAGACATACTTTGTTTAGCATTCTGGTTAAGTCTGTAATTTTGCCAATCAAGTCGTCAGGAAACTACTCAATGTCAGATTGAGTATGAAATATACAAGGTTGAAACAGAGATGACATGCTAGAGAAGCGGATAGGCGAACTAGAGTTTATATAAGCCGATGATGGAACTGTCGAGAAAATCACTGTGTTCGAGCAGTGAGACGCAGATCAACGTAAAATGTAACCAAAATGTTAAGCAAAGTACGTCTATCCGATGTTGGCTGTATGCGAATTCAGTGGGATGAGTGAATGAATTCTGTCCAACAGTTGATAAGTGATTTGTCCTACTGTGTAGTGGAAAGAAATATCACGCATGTAAAAGTGCTGACATTGAAATGAGACTCGACTGTGTCCACATCTAGTAGTTTGGCATTTTTATTAGATACAGTATAATCGACTAAACATGGTAAATTATTAGTGGTGCAATAGTAAATAAAGCATGTATGCATTTATAGACTGATAATTAATCGATAATTTCACTCTTTTCTCGTAGTTCACGTTTGCTTAATCATAAGTTCTCGTTCACTGTTAATGAATATGGGATGATAAATAATGCGTGAATGTTTTATGTAATTAGGTAGAGTATCGTTTGTTTTATTTAACTGTTTTTATTAGTGGCTTTATCTATTAGGGCTATTTGGTATCAATTAATCAGGCGACGCAAAGATTTGATTATGGTACTGGGATAGAATGTCTCTGGTTTTTATGTTCAATGATTATAGGTATGCGTTTATCTTCTGTATTACCTCGAATTATTCGAATATTGACTAGTATCTCTTTTTCTATGGTCGATAAGGATTCATGTGTCGAGGATGAAAACAAACAAGTAAGACAAGACAAATGTATATTTTAATTAGTTTTGAAAATAAAAACCAAGCTTTCATGTGTTTATTTTTAATGAACAGTAGCACGGATAACTAATAATCACCAAACGGATCCACAAGCGGCGTATTCAGTTTCATTCATTTGAACCTAAAATTAGAGTTTATTAGTATGCAGCGAGAACCAATTTTGGATCATTAAAACGAAAGTTGACATATTACATACCTAGAGTAATTTGGGGTTCTATTCCTGTAGGGACAATGGAACATTTTTGATCAACAGCTGTTGAAGCATTCTCGTTAGCGTTGCATGAAACCAAAGCTTCTTCCGTTTTTAATCCATTCATAATCTATGATAAGAAAAATTATATAGAAATGACTAGATTTAAAGAGAAAATGAAAGAAAATCAGTTCGTTATCGAAAGCGAACAAAATGGTAAGACTTCACTAACCGATCAAACAGATCTACACAGTAAAAAATAACTAGGTGAGAAATTCTTTGGAAGCCATGTGCAATTCAAGATTAGGATGTTTGATTGACTGTTATTTTTAGATTACTGAGGTAGCCACTTCGATAAAGCCAGCTTTTTTAAAAACGAAACCAATAATAATTACCGAAATCTTTATTCGTACAGCTGTGCGTCATACATATTTTGACAAATAGTGGTCATACAGGTGACGTTCACACTAAGAAAATTTGAAAGACTTGCTTTTTTCAGCTAAGACAGTGTATATAACCTGAGAATGCTGATCTCAAAAATATAACATTTGATAATGATTTTATTCAGTGATTGAAAGTTACTAAAGTTCAAAAACTCGGGCGATAAAATAAAATAAATTATGTAGATTTGTTACGATAAATAGTTTGTAACGAAAAAGAACAACCTACTGAAAATAATATCAGAAGTACTGCATACTTACAGGAAGCACCGACTACTTATGCACTTTAAAATTTAAGTTTCAAGTACTTTTATAAAACTCGACGACTGTAGGTAACACTATGACTAGTGCAACACGGTAAAATATTTTTAGAACCATAAGCGGATGATCAATACAAAGATGAAACAATAGTAACCGGATTAAGACGGTTAAGAAGAGGACTAAAGTAAATTTTATTTACACACTTACATATTCTGAAACATCGGAACTGACGTTTGAAACCATGGTAGTTTGTTCACACACATTCTTTACTGTAGCAGAATCAATTTCCACAACTTTAGGAACATTTCCTTCCTGTAGTGAAATAAATTAATTGAATAAATTTGCAAAAATGTGACGAAGTTCAAAAAGAAAAAAAGGAATCTTACGTTCAGCGAATCAGATAGTGACAGATCGTTTTTAAATGAATCTGAGGTATTAATTTTCCTTGTAGATTTGACAGATTCCATGTTACTAGACACTGAACAAGGTGACAATGAACGCTTGGCTTGTTTAGATGACTCATTAACAGAATGACGAATATAAAAACGACTGGATGCCTGTCGAAGTGCAGATCGACAGGCATCAAGAACAGATGCCTGTTGTTCCAAAACACGAGCTAGAGAGTCAACTTTGTCTCGTTCATCCCTGTACCGTCTTCGATAATCCTCCATACTTGAAGAAGTTCTCAACAACTTATCTTTCAGCTCTGAGAAGTCCACAACAGATTCACGGAGACGGGCTGTAAAAATAATCGAAAGTAAAACATAGATAAAACAGCCACGTGACATTTTGTAACCTCGAGCACATGTATGCATTGGTTCCATTTGCCATGTTATATAAACACAATGAGAAAAACATGTAAGGAAAAATAACAGAAGCGCTAAAGGAAGTCAATTATGGACACCAGGTAAGAAAGAACAAGGATGCATGTGTTTGCGCGTCCACAATGGATTGTGAGTCATAGCAACATCGACTTCAGTAAGGGAAACGAATCCCCTATATGCTAACGTTGTTTCCCAAGTCAATTAGAATACTGGATTTTGTCAGCTTCTTCATCAAACAGAACTATGCCATTTGTGTATTTCAAGTCGATAGCCGAACCTCCTGGCAGGAGATCGACCCCTGGAAAGTTAATTGCAGAAAATATAATTTCCAGAAGGATATCAATGATAAAACCAAATAAAAATAGAGATAGTGGAGTCTGACTCGACCGACAGTGTCTGAATATAAAGCCTTCACAAGGTCTATGTACTTCTTTGGTACACCTTTCAATGAAAGACACTCCAAAACTTGTCGATCTACGGAGTTGAACGTGGTCGCCTTAAGGTCAGGAGATACAACCATGCTTGAGAGTTAGTAGGTATATTTGCAAAGAGCGAATGTTTAGTCTACACAACCACATCTAAGTCTGAAATCAACTTGCTTTCCCCGTCTTTACTCCCTATTAGCCTAAGATAACCGTTGTATGATTATTGAGGTCTATATTTCAGACACCATAAGTCAATCTGATTCCTCTATGGTTACAGCAAGAGGATTTTTGTCCTTTCTTACAGACCGGAACGATCAGCGATTGAGACCAGTCAGGTGGAATTAAATCTAGTTCCCAGACTATAGCTAAGATCCCAGTCAATCTAATAGCCATAATTGGAACAGCATCCTTAGAGATCTCCGGGTTATGACATTAGAGACTATCGCTTTGTCTCGGTTTAGATTAGCTATAGCTTCTTTAACCTTTTTCCGAGTTGAATGGCTTGTGCTGGAATTCTAGGTTGCTTGGCAAAAGTGGGTAACTGAAGAGTAGATGCAGAGTAGTTAAACTGTTTTCCAAAGTGCTTAGCCCATCGTTCTGGCCTCCTGGGTTGAGGGAGGATCATTGTTCCATGTTTTTTAGTTGTTCACGACGGAGACTTTTTATCGTCAAGCTGAACTCAAAGAGGTCATTTATATGTTTCATTACCGCGTCCAGTAAGACGTAAGCAATAGGGTATTTGCACTAGAGCATAGAGTTTAAACGTGTGCTGCGAAATGAGCGGAAGACTTTTATCGAGCACACCTATACAGTCCACAGTATGAATTAGGCCTGAGACTTTAAGTTACTGATTTTAGAATTACCGTTCTTCGACCGATATGCTTGGAATGTCGGTACATAAATGTTAAGGCCAATACTGTCAGCTTGGTTCATTAGGATTCAGTATGTGACGAATCAATATATATCTAATTATTCGATAAAACTCTACATATAAAATCGATGGAGACATACCAATTTCCTGTTCTTGAAGTCGGATCTGAGTCATCAGTTTGGAGTGTTCGCGTTCGGACGTTCTGATATGACCGAGATATTCCTCGGGATGGATTGCCTGAGAATTAAGTGATTCGCCCGACTTTTGAAGTACAACGATGCTAAAAATAGGACAATACGTAGTTGATAACACAATAGTGAAAATACCGAATAATGCACAGTAGCGAATAAATCAATAACGTGAATATTCCACCTGGTAGGCTTGAATGTAATATGGTAGATGGGAAATAAAAGAAACTGAACTAGAGATTTATGAAATCGACCGACAACTAAAATAAGCTACAAAAAACAACTAACCTTCCGCTAGGTTGCGCGTCTATTTGGTCGTCTAAAATAGCATCACCACCACGTACAAGTTCCAGTAAATATTCATCATCGTCAATATCGGAGAATATAACAGATGATTTATTCGCTAAAGAAAGAGGTTCTTCTGAATCCGTCAAGGAACGGTAGTGGAAACGACCATGATCAAGAACTTTGTATATGAGAGATCGAAGCTAAATAAGAAAAACAGTAATAGGCTTGTAAACATCTGAGGGTTGAAAACTAAAAAAACGATGTTACAACAAAAAAATGAAGGATAAGCGAAAAAGCAAGTACATGACAGTCACTAGGTTAGACGCTATAACTAAATATACAAGTGTACTTTGATTTAATTTCCTGCAGATGAATCCAAAAGATTTAGATTATTTTTACACCTCTAGTACAAATGCACGGAGTGTGGTCCCCTAAGAAAACTAATCGCCTCGGTTATGGTACCCGGGCAGTATCCTAACCCATGTACAAACCAAATGATGATTACAACCATAATAGATTATCCTAACACTCATTTATTATATTCGTTCTTATTTTACATTTCGTCACTCGTCTATTCCCTTTTATTCCCCTTTTGTGTATTCCCTTGTTCTAAACTCATACAACAAATCGCACTTGGTGAAGATTTTGTCCTGTCTCAACAACCGCAAGTCACTGACAAATTGGTCAAAGGTTGAATACTACCAGACTTACTGAAATCACGTGTGCCATTCAAAATGGTTTTCTTTAAACGGTCGACACGCTCAACTACTAGAGTCAAACTTTTTCAACCCCGTCCTTCCTTGTGAGAAGGCAGCATCGCTGCAGATGGTGTTTGCCCGAGGGAAACACCTTAGTGATGTCACACCCCTCTACAGTCAGCAGTACGACTACGTCTTCAGACCTTGAGTTGCTGCTTTTCGTCTTACCGTTCTCCAATCGGCCTGCCTGACGTGGTAGAGCCTACAGCAACATATGTTTCGGCGAATATAGCTCGGTTGGGTCATCACGATAGGCAAGCCCGACCACCACGTCAAGATAGCAGGTACGGCCGAGTAGTGGGGATAAATTTACTTCTGATCGTGTCCAAAATATTGGCTTCCGTTTTACTTCGCAGATTGTTCAAAACGCTCCCAAACGTCCTGGTACAGTAGAGGGTAGGGAGAGTCAGCTCTCTCACGAAATGCTCATACAGCTACTGGTATAAAGTTATTGCCACGGATGTCCTACTAATTGCCTTCGCGCGGCGGTGTTATCTACGAAACTGACAGGACGAAAAGCGAATATCCGGGTTAGAGGATAAGGAAGATCAACCAACGGAAGTTGGATAACCCTAATTCGAAACTAATGGTGTATATGGACACAAGGTTCCTGAGGAAACAAATCGCGTATGAGTCTATCGTTGATCACGGCCTATCATGGGACTGCATCTCTCAACGTTGCGTCGCTGCCTCGGGAATTAGACCTGTCTGCTGTATATCTGAGATCCATATTCAAGACTAGTGAAGTATTACGCATTCACTACATCTGTCGCTTCGAAAAGCTTGTTCCACATGCACTTGCGCAGGACCCTGTGGTTGTGGGCTACTATGAGACTGCATTTTTAAAGTTCATCCAGTGCCTTGTGGACTAGACCTCTGGATCGTAGGCTTAGGAAGTGGCCTCTAGGAAAACCACCTGCGTCGGTCTGAGCGTCCAGACAGTATTCCAGCCCTCACGCAATTCGAGTGATTACTATTATTAATAGTAGTATTTACTCCCATTAATTTTTTAGAAATAGTACTTACCTTCCTTTTCTGTCTTTTCACAATCTCATTTTCTTATTACGTACCGCACATATATTTTGATGCCTCTTAATACCAATGTTCATGTGTATAAATGAAATGAAATAAACTAACCGAAGCGTAATGAGATATTTATGGGCCACGGAAAATGTAAGTGGTGATAATGTCAAAATAAATGTTGGACATGTATGAGAAAGGTTAGCAACCATTCTGTGAAGTGAAAACTAAAAATGACCGCTCACCTGATATCGAGAGATAGGCAAGCCAAGTGAAAGAATGAAGTCTTCGACCTCCGACGAAAGGAAATAACTCTTATAGCTTGTATCCAGTACTGTGCATGCAAAAAGCAATGGTAGATCCGTCGTATACAATGGAGTTTCCTTAAATTCCTCGTCTTTTGCCAGAGATGTCCTTTCATTACGCTCTAAACGAGCACGTTTAGCTACATAATCTGGTTCACTAAGAGAAAAGGAATTAACAAATGGAATTGTCGAAAGTCCCCCAAAAAACGTAGTCACATTAGGGTATAATGCAGTAGTTAAAACAGTGGAGACATTAATGAATGAATAAGATTTGGAACAAGAGGTAACAACATAAAACAGGAGGATAGTAAATAAATAATAGAGATTTAAAAATACCTGCGTTTCCTAGGTTTCGCGCAAATTCCTCTATCTGCAGCCGTAACAAGGGCACGAAACAAAGTGAATACGGAATCTCTGCGAAGCATGTCAAAGATTGTGTGGATGCAAAACATGAATTCATATGATCTACAGTCCATAAAATCAGATTTTGAATCCATAACAACCTTCAAGTATAACAATGTGAGAAGTGAATGCAAAATGAAACAAATAAAAAGAAACATATAATATTGATCCAAGTTATATCAGGAGTTAATACTGAAAATTCCTAAATGGACGTAGTATTATTTAGACGAGACTTAACACAATTTTCGTTATTCGGCAGCTGACTTGAAGCCTCAAAACGCTCTATCCTACCTTCAACTATTGTATAATGTAAATTATTCAGCTGACAACCGATTGAAATTCAAATATGACAACTTGAATTGATGCATACATGTGCCAGGCTCTGAATTGAACATGACTGATTGACCGAACAGAAGCTACAGGCTGACTCAATGTTTAAAATAAAGAAGCTTGAGGGATGTAATGCGAAATGTGACTACGAGTAAGATGGTATATTACCAAAACTATTGTGGCAAGTATTATAGACACGAAATCATTAAGGTTTATGCAAACATTTATTTTTGACTAACAGTTTATATTAATTCGTATGAAAGGAACGAAAAAACCAAGGTCAATTTGATGGCCTGATAAGAGATACATAGGAAACTATAAAATATCTACTTACATCGAGCCCGACTGACTGTACGGTAAAGTCAACATTTTTCTTGCGTAAAATTATTATTGAAGGGAGATCCCGGAGAGTCAACTTAGGTGCATCCGTCCATGATTTAGATCCAAAATCAGTATTTGAAGGTTTTATTTGTTCTTCTGAAACTTGGGGTGACTTATCAATAGTCACAGACTGTAATGTTTTTTCCTGCTCCATTTCTGAAAGTGTAGATCAGGAAAATGTATAAACTTAAGGGATTAAAGAATATAATTAGATGAATACACAAGCATCTATCTGTGAAATGATTTACTTTCTTTTTCAGCCTTTTTAGCCGACTCCTTTTCTTCTTCTTCTTGGATAGCCGTTTTGAGACGAGTCAACAACTGAGCTCTTACTCCCTCAGTAGGCAAATTACGAGCTTTTAACTGTTCACGCAGTTCAGAAACCTACGAAAGTCATTAAATATCAACATTTATTTTCCAGGAATCTTAATTTAAGTAGTACAATACAAAACCAAAAATGCATCATACAAATAAAGTGATAATACTGTAGAAAAACGACATTATATGATGACACAGTTTACTTAAAAGTCAATAGAGACTGCATTTAGTTAAGTTTATTTAGCTTTTATGAAGAATTTAAGCGAAAATGACAAGCGGATCTGTACTGACTTTTATTCTGTGCTACAGTTACGCAACCTGCAAGGTCGGAATAATAATTCTGGACCAACAGATACACACCATATACTGGTTGTGTCTGCTTTTTCCACTTAGTACAATAGTCGAAGTCCATTGAATGACATCTGCAAAATATGATTGAGGCAGTAAAGCCAGTGTTTTGAGGTGACTTATTGAATAATTCCAAATGGTCTGAACAAACATTGTCGAACCTCGTTTATTACTAATAACGTGTTATTAACTGATGCAAGCAAACCATTATGGACGACGATGACCGAGAACTGAAACTGACTGAATGTTCTGAGCTAAGAAATGTCAGGATTTAGAAGGATAAAGAAATAAACTTGGATGCACCGTAAACGCTACCATTTTAGAGAGACTAAAAGTGACCTAGATCAAGATACTCCGTCCTAGCTTTCAGTATAAGTATATTGATCTCATTATCAACTTAACATTTAATTACCCAAAAGCACAAATGTTTCTAATGTCTTAGAATGAAATGCGAGTGCAGACACAGGTTCTTGATATAAGAATTATTTTGCGTTCTGAAAGTGCAAAGTGCATTCAGTAATTACGAACACCAACTGCTAGCTGTGCCCCCAAATGCCCTGGTACGGCCGAGAGTGGGGAGAGTCAGCTCTCACTCTCGAAATGCTCTCACATGGCCATGCCTATATAGCCTCTGACAGGGAAGTCCTACTCACCGCCTTCTCGCACCAAGGGTGTTGTTTACAAAAATGAGAGGACGAAAAGCGAATGTCCGGCGCTTTAACCGTACCCCAAACCAATGGTGCACATGGGTTTTAGTATCCTGATGGAACAAATGGCGTATGAACCAATCGTTTATCACCGACTACCACGGGACTGCATCTCCTCACGATGCTCCACTGCCTTGTGGATCAGACGTTCAGGTCGAAGGCTCGGGGTGTGACCCCTTAAGAAAACCACCTGCTTCGGTTTGGGCACCCGGGGAGTATCATAGCCCTCACATATCAAATGAGGCCTATGTGGCGCATATTTATTTGGTTTTATTTTATTTTAACACATGTATTGATACACGGAGACATCAAATACATATGCGCCACACAAATCTCAATTGATTTGTGTGAGGGCTGTGATACTGCTCGGGTGCCCAAACCGAAGCAGGTGGTTAGAGCCGGACATTCGCTTTTCGTCCTCTCATTTTTGAAAACAACACCCTTGTTGCGAGAAGGCAATGAGTAGGACTTCCCTGACAGAGGCTATATACGCGTGGCCATGTGAGAGCATTTCGAGAGGTAGAGCGGACTCTCTCCACTCTCGGCCGTACCAGGGCATTTGGGGGCTACCTCCTTGTACCAATATATACGTGTTAAAATAAGTAAATAAATAAACTGCTAGCTGAATGAGAACTTTGGATACTTGGTATATTATTGCATTGTAACGTAATGGTACTCGCATATTCAAAATCGAATGAACGGCTCCACTACGTACTTCCAAAGCTGTATTCAGAATGTTATAGATGGTACGGTTGATGAATGGTGAGACTAGACGTTTTTATTAGATTGGAAAAATAGAGACGGTTATCTCCTTTCACTATGCTTGAGGTTGTTGAGTACAGAACCTTCAAAGTGTTAATATACATTTTATGCACAACCCGATAATGAGACAATCATGGTAACCAGCCATGTCTAAAAAACTAAATAAGCTTATTATGTAAAAAGAACAGATTGTTGTCCATAACTAAGAGTGGCGTCTTTAGTGTATGAGACTGAAAGTAAAGACGACTGGATTCATGGATGTCCAATTATAAAGGCTTTAACACAATCATGAGTATGCCAACCAATGATGCAGTAGTGGAAACGCATCACCTATATGCTAACGTTGTTTCGCAAGTCAATTAGAATACTGGATTTTGTCAGCTTCTTTATCAAACAGAACCATGCCATTTGTGTATTTTAAGTCGATAACCGAACCTCCTGTCAGCAGTCAGTCAGTGACAACGTGGAACTTCGTACGTACGTACATCAACTCGAGTTACCATACCACATTAGCACAGAGATTCAGTTATCGATTCAAATCCCGTAGTGGAAGAGGTAGTGATATGGAACATCAAGGTTTGATGATGTTATTTAAGGAGTATAGTCTAGTGGAATAGATTTGGAAAGAAATAAAGGACATGAAGAATACAGAAGATTAGAGTTTAAGAGAACACAGAGAGTGGATGCACCTGCGCCATTGCAAACGATTTTGAGCCATGTCATTCAAGGTCTCTAACCATCGGTTGCTATCATCTCGCGGTCCCCAACCAGGTAGTCTACATCTACCAACATGGCTCAGTCCACTCGTCAGTGACTTCATGGATTTGTGCCATGTTTTGGTCTGGCCGCCCATAGCTTTCTCCCAACCTACTCCTACACCAGAAAACATCGCACGTCGGGGCAGTCGGTGGTCAGGCATGCGCAACACATGTCCCAGCCATCTCAACTGATGAAGTTTCACTACTTCATCAATCGACTTGCCATCCTTACCTAATATCCGTTTCCTAACAACTACATTACTTACTCGGTGGTCCCAGGATATACGAGCAATGTTTCGAAGACACCTATGACCAAATACTAATAGCCTACGAATATCCTCTATTCTTACCGGCCATGTTTCACTGCCATAAAGTAGGACGGAACGAACTGCAGCGCAGTAAACACGTCCTTTGGTTGATAGACGGGTATATGGCTTACGCCATAAATGACGCAAGTTAGCAAAACCTAGTCGAGCATTCTGTATCCGTGCTGAGATTTCGTCACACACCAGACCACAAGGGCTGACGAGACTTCCGAGATAAGTGAGATGGTCGACATGCTCAACTATTTCACTCCCTATCACTAGTTCGGGTGTCGACGCAACCCAATCCTATAGCTAAGATCCCAGTCAATCTAATAGCCATAATTGGAACAGCATCCTTAGAGATCTCCGGGTTATGACATTAGAGACTATCGCTTTGTCTCGGTTTAGATTAGCTATAGCTTCTTTAACCTTTTTCCGAGTTGAATGGCTTGTGCTGGAATTCTAGGTTGCTTGGCAAAAGTGGGTAACTGAAGAGTAGATGCAGAGTAGTTAAACTGTTTTCCAAAGTGCTTAGCCCATCGTTCTGGCCTCCTGGGTTGAGAGAGGATAGTTTTCCGTGTTTTTGAGAAAGCCCCAGTAATTGACGAATTTTTTATATCGGTTTCTTTGAAAAATTTACAGTTGTTTCCCGTCGCTTATTGTCACCAATGCTCATGATCGTTGTGTAGACTTCCCAGTCTACATTTAAGTTGCGTTTGCTATTTATCATGTTTGCAGCTTGATTAATCTACGAGCATCAATGGAACAGAACTCTTCAGTCCGAGCTAGGAAAGTCTGTTGACAAAACATGTAGTTTAGAGAGCGGTTTTAAGACACCAGGTGTAACAACTCGTGAAGTTAAATAACTGGCATTGTTGGGGCATAGGGATAAATTAATAGCAAGAAGTTAAAAGTCATAGTTGTATACATTTTACTAACTGTCCCAGTGACATATGTATTAGGGAATGATGGTAAATCAGTTGATGAGGTTATGAATCTTCATCGACTGAGATGGTTGGGCCACGTGTTGCGTATGCCTGAACACCGATTACCACGACGCGCAATGCTGACTAGTGCAGGGGATAATTGGAAGAAAGTTAGGGGCGGCCAAACCAAAACGTGGCATCAGTGCTTGAAGTCACTAACTTCTGGTCTGAGCCATGTTGGGAGATTCAGACTGCCTGGTTGGGGTCCGCGTGACTATCGTAACCAATGGTTGGAGACTCTTGGTGACATGGCTCAGAATCGATCACAATGGCGTCGGTGTATACACTCTCTGTCTTCCTTAAATTAAGAGATTAAAATCGCTTCATATCTGTCTAGGAACTAATTCTTTCTTCCTTTACTATCTCCTTATACACAATCTTCTATATATTACCACCACTGAATTAACTACTCCTATGAATCCGGTGTTCATCTTGTTGTGCTAATGCGGTATGGCAACTTGGACCGATGCATATACGTGCCTGGTCCTACGTTGCAGCTGACTGACTGACATATGTATTTCAGATAAAGGTTGTATTTCATTCATCAGCAATCGCAAAATCTAGATCTAGACATTGTCAGATACTCGAAATGGATCTTGGAAATTTCAAGCACCGAAATTTCCCATTATTCTGAGCGTTACGATAAAGTTTATGCGAATTGATATCTAGAATGTGAAGGAAAGTATTGCACAAAAGTATAAAATAAAAAACCGAACGTTATTGTGCCTATGATTGTACTGGCTTGAGACCACTGCATGTACTGCTCCAAAATATTATAGTGACAATAAGAAATGGAGTGACAGATGTAAATGTGCTTACCTTCATGCTAGCTAAGTTAAGTTCAGTATGAAGCTTTTTCTGGCATTTATCAGCTCCCTGACGGAAAAAACAGATAAACATAACAGTTACTATGATACCTTGGAAGTAATTTGCATTATCATGATCATACATAAATTATAAACTTCATATGCAAATTAAATGACTAAATGCTAGATATACTGTAGGAACATAATATGACAACAGTAAGTTAGGTAGCAACCTCCTGATTTGGATTTCCTTGAGCTGCTAAATCCACAGATTCGGACCCATCCTCTGTCTCGGAGATAATTGCTATTTTTGGAACAGTTTCCTGACCAGCCAAATACGAGGTAGAGCGATGGAATTCAACAGGCGCTTGAAGGGCTGACTTGTTGCCTTCATCCATTTTAGACATATTGGAATCTTCATATGCATTGTCTTGAGTAGGTGACTTCAGTGAATTTGAATCCAGTTCAATCGCCACATTTAATTTCCCGTCACCAGTTCCCTTAAAAGCAGATTCTAAACCAGAAAACTTCTTCAAGTTGGAAGGAGTCATTGGAAATACGTTAGGTTCTTTTGAAGCCAAGATATTTTCATAAGCCAGCTTTACAGTCGACCATTCTTCGTCTGTAGGCATGAGTGACCAAACATTTGGAATAAAATATACGACAATTTGATGAAACGGTTTGCTTGGAGGAATCATATCAGATTCAGGAGATTCTGTGACGGGTCGACCCCAAAGTTGAGAGCCAGGAAATAAGACTGAGGTTGGTTGGGCAGTTGAACCTTCAGTACGACTATAGCGGAACTCCAGGAAACGGTGCCTGGGGAAAGTGGACAGGATGATAACAACAGTAAACGCGACGTCGATCAAAGGAACGCGTAAGACCCATATTGTTTGATATTTGTATATAAACAATATAAGGAAAGTTAAAAATTAGACAGATAAATTATCAAGCTATGCAATGAGATCGTGAAAACATTAGGATCGATTTAAAATTAAAGACGATATAGCGAGCACTTATGACCTGACAGTGTTTCATTTTTGGGCAGACTTGGAGAAATAAGTACTTAGCGGATATAAATTTATTTATTTCAATGGAGATTCCTCTGAGTTTTTTTTACGAAGATCAAAGCACAATTCAGAAAAATAAAGCATTTGAACTGACTTACTAGTGAATGTGGAGACAGCTTATTTACTCTACACAACCGTTTATAAATACGGAAGAACAGTAGTCAAGCTGGTAGATGACAGATTTCGTTAACAATAAGATGATTATGAGCAATGGGACTAGATTTGAATACTACACTTTTATACCTGCTTAAGAATGAACTGTGAAAAAAGACTGACTAGAAACATAGATCAAAAGTTAAAACTGAGTAACATACCACTGTGTGCAATACGATAAATCGAGACCAATAAGTTGTTTACAATTACGAATAGCCGTGTTGACAAGGGTTTGAGGATTTGTAGCTGGGTCTGGCCCATCTAAATCACGACTCCAGGAACCCCCAATAGCCTTGAGTCTTTCGTCAACCTTTCCAGCAGCTAGTATCTTGATGTACTTACGTAGTGAGCCACGTACTCGACTAGGAGACTCTGCTCGGACAACTATCTTCTCCATTAGTTCTGCCATTGCCGGGAGCGACAAAAGTAAAACATACGCAGCAAAACCACTGTCATTGTTGTAAGGCTGATGCACATCGTCACAAGCGTCTTCAGGTTCTTTAATTATCTACATAATAAAAAAATGTAAACAGGCTTTCGTCAATAAATAAATTTGAAACAAATTGAAAGTATTTGTATTTATATTATCTTGAATTATCAGCACAACAGTAGCCATATGACCTACTTAGTGTTGAGAACTAACTTCGAGGTCGTCACGTATGTTAACGAAGCACCTAAATAAAATTTGTTAGGTATGCAGCAACCAGTCGGTAAAACGTTTCTTAGTCGACTGGCCAGATCCACCTGGGGATTTAAACACAATTTTATATTTAACAACATCGTGGAAAGTGTCAAATACCTAAAGTCAATAACTAAATCCCTACAGAAGCTTTCTACTTTAACATGCTGGGTCTCACAGTTAAAAGATAAGACGGAATGAAATAGTCCAGTATCTTGTCTACATCACAAATGTTATGGTACAGTCAAGGGTGGGGAGAGTCAACTCTCTCACGAAATGCTCATACAGCTAATCGTATGCCTAGACTGAAAACCTCAACAAGCCTAAAAAACAAAACTATCACTTAGAAAGAAAAATAGAGTTAACCAGCTAATTGGTATGGCATCAAGTTAGGTATGATACTATAAACTTGAGTGAAAGGAGATATTTTGGAAATAAGTGGGATATCGTAGTTATCATTATGAAACTTTCACTTGAAGTAACAGCTCTTTCGCGTTATATCAGTCCTTACGGAGAAACGCTACTTCCTTACACGTGATCTGACAGTACTACCGTAAGTCTCCCAAGACAAAAATCATGAAGCTAGTCTATTGCTGGCAATGTTACTAAGCATTTGGAATCTAACAGCATAAATTGCTTTTAGGTAATAAGGTGTGGCAATTATCTATTAATAGTTAGGAATAATTGCTTCTTTGGTAGATAATTAAGTTTATGAATAAAAAGTAGGGAAGTCTACCTGGAAAGTTGTAAGATATTGAGGCTGAAATGGTCTCAGTAATGGGAATGATTCTTGCCAATTGCATCTAACACGATACAAGTCAACTGGCGGGAGAACATTTGGGAAGCGCCTTTGTAGATCGGAGAACAAGTACTCTTTCACATTCAGCATACGTTTGGGGTTAATCGGAGTCCTACAATACAAATCAGCCGTGGGAGAGGAGTGTCGCGTTGAAACAGAATCTACAGGAGTTCTTCGACGATCACGATTGGGAGATTTTTTGATCGAGTGGTCATCCCTAACACCGAAAGTAAAAATTAACAGCACAATACCTGTTAAGAACATGAGAACGCTTCTTATCTACTCGTCGCTGATCGCCGCTGGATGGATGAACATCACGTTCACGTGATGCTGGTTTAGAATAGCTATCACGAGGAGAGTGTTTGCGCGGGGACTGGCTCTTCCAGTAGCTGCTTTCTTCTGCTTTATCTCTAGATTTGCCACGACGTTCTTCAACTCGCCAAACTTTTTCGGCACTCCACTTTATAGGCATATGAGGTTGATACACTGCACTTGCAGCAACATTGTCTCCTACCTCAACCATAGGACCAATTACACACCTTACGTCGTAATAAAAAGTGGATGGTAACTTACTTTCTCTGAAAAAAAATTTCATTATTAATATATCCGAACGTAGGGTACATCTTAGTGACGTACCCCACCAGTTGGTGAGAGGATGATTCGGCAGTCATTATGGAGCCAGTTGTTGTGGCGGCAAACATCACGGAAAATACTGAGCGCCAAAAGTTACAAACAAAACCGCCATATGCAAATGAACAAATATTTTGTAATCAAAATATCGCGAAATGTTGAAGATTACAATTCTGATTTTCGATTCCGAATCAAAAACTGTGAAATAGTGTTTGATTAGCTTGCCGCGCCATTTGAACATAGTGGGCTACACTGCGAATGTCGAGCAAACATGATAAAGATAGAAAAGTCACTGTTGATGATGATGGTATTCCTAGTTGTGTGACAGAATATGTAAACGTTAACAGTACACCTCGGCAGTTCGTTCGGTCCCAAGTTATACCAGATGATCAGTCACAAATATGTACTCAACATCCGTTGTGTCCCCAAAATTCACGCGTTCTGAATAACGATTGTGGTGATAAATGTATGACTAAAAATACTGACTGTAAAAGGCATGGAGAGTTTGTAAGTGAAGATCATTCGAAGTCTTTTACCTTTTCAAACATGTCACAAGATGGAAATAAACAATCACTTGGAGATAATATTCGGACTTCACATTCAGTTAAACGTCTATACGAATCATTCTGTTTAGTTTCAAACTCTTCCGCAAAGCGAAATTGCTGTACAGTTGGGCAAGATGGATGTGATGAACAGTCACATGAACCCTCGACATCAAATAATCCATATGACAGCCTAGGTTCTCGTGGTTTCGATGTATCTTCGGAAATCAGAATTGCAGCTCGAAGATCAGAAAATCATTCTTTACCTTCGGCTCACAATTTAGCGTATGAAATTGGAGTAATAAATGAAGTTCCGGATGATGCGCTAAAACTAACAGAGAATAAATACCGGTCTGAGCGTAAATCGCCTCCTTATTGTGTAGCTCATTCATTAACGATGGCTGAAATAGAACAAGCTAAAAAGTTAGAAAAGGACGAAAATCTTATTCCATTTTTTTCTCCTCTCAGTAAATCTCGGGCTCCTTCTTCGGCAGTTTCACCAGAATCTTCGTATGGTAACTCTGTAGTTTCAAGTAAGCTTGTCCCTATTACAGGCATTATTTACCTTGTTATTTTATTCATCTTCATTTAATATGTATTCAACATCTCTCCCAGTCCTTGACTATAACCTTAACTTAGCAGTCATAAGAGTTATCGAGTCCTCACAAATATGTCTAAACTACTGTATATTGATCAGCCACATTTACAATATGGCTGGAAACCGATCATATAGACTTTTATTAATTATTGAGTGTCTTTGTTCGTGAGACTCGCACATTTGAAATAATATATATACTGGGAAGTAAATGTACGTGCACGTACATCATGATGACGAAATATGTTTTCGGGTGTAATAGTAGGTCGAAAAGAAACTAGTGTGGTTTTGAACTGAACCGTGCAAATGGATGCGGAATAACTGGTTGTTGTTGGCGCGATTATCACAACTAATAAGTGACGGTGAGTGACATTGGTTAGAATCAGTCTAAAATTAGCATGCACACTCTTTGTTTTCGTTTGACCTGTTTTCTCAAATTATCGTGTATTTTTTTATTCCGTGGTGTTCTACTACCACTGGTACTGTTTCTAGTGCTCTGGAATTTGTTTTGATAATTACATCTCCGTGCACTGATATGGCGTGTCAACTCGAATCAATGCATATATGGGCTAAGTTGCTTGTAACTTACTTTTGATCTAATAAAGATATCTGCGTTCCCAATTCGAATGTCGCTAATGATCCATCGTTAAAATGCCTACCTGGTGTGTACTTAGTTATATCAAATTAAGCGTGAATGATAGTCTGGATTTTACATCTGTAGTTTGCCACTTCGTATATCTCAGTGAAATCTCGTAATATAAAGATTAGCAGATTCTTCAATTAACCATAATTCTCTAATCGACATGTATGAAATAGTGTATTCATCGTTATTTGGATTGCCAATGAAAAAGTTCTCAAAAGTATTTTGATATTTTTTGCGGTAAAAATACTTTATTTTATCGTCTTTCCTTCGAGGCTTATATCGTAGTTCAAAACGTACTTAAGCTACCTCTGACTTCACCTAATTAAGTGGTTTCTACAAAGTAACGGATACTCACAATTCGCCCAAGGGTTGGTCTTAGATCTAAATATTACATAGAGATTGTTGTAACTGGGCTGAAATATATTATTATTATTATTAGTCAATCCCTATGTTCTATGTCATTTATGATGACTTCCACTTTACTTAATTTTGTAGTTGTTGGTTGGATCCTTAATATATAGCCTTAATAAATGATTGTTATAGAAAAAATCTCGGGTGATGAATTTGTGTGTCGGATTAAATTAATTAATAACCTACTCTATACAACTTACACGTTTTAACAGTAAAGAGATTCTAACTACGGAAATTGACGTAATTTCAGTAATAGTTTAGTCTTTGAGAAGTAGATTAACGATTTGGGACGTCATATACTTCAAGCTGATAATTTTGCGCCAATGAATAGTTTATGTTCATATTTTTAGGGTTTCAATGTTTTCGAGTTCTTGTATACTGCTCGAAGTTCAGGTATTTCACTCAATAAAATGCTATTTATAAATTGAAATAACTACTAAAAAGTGTGTTCTCTACTTTTTGTTATTTCCAGTTTCAAAACGAAATAGCGTTCTTATTGGTTCCGCTGCACAACGTTCCCGTGATGTTAACAGGGACAGCTGTTTTATTCAAGAAGCTGTTGATAGCTCTGGTATTTATATACCCGGAGTAGATCTACTCATTGACGACTCCGAATGTGAGCCCATCGATCTTATATCTAGGTTCAGCAGAACTCCGATTTCTTCACCCAAAATAGTTGACCCCGGTAGCACGATATCATGTGCTCTTGCTGGACCTCTCTCTTCGTCTCATGTCTTCAACCAGCTTGATTCCAATGTCGCACAAAGGTATATCACCAATTTGTTTTTTTATTTCCAAGGCTGATGAAATTACCAACTTAATAATCCAATAAATAAATGAGCTTTATTAACAAACAATAAATTTCACAACCGCAAATACTCTGGAAAAAAATGCTCTTCGAAAAATAAAATCACACAAGATTGGTTTAGCACAAAGTAGTAATTTTAATGGTCGTGCGTGATGATTTATATGGCTTAGTCGATTCCAACTATATGTGTAATTCCTTATATTTTAAAAATTTTGAGCAGGATTTTTTCATCAAAAATGTTGACTCATTTTCCTATCGAGTTTTGTCTTAAATAGTGTCCAAAAGCTAACTGACTCAGAGTACTAATGAAATTCACCAAATCTATGATGCTGGTTTATTAAAATACTGATTCGAATTAGTTGAGCTAGTTTATGGTTTCTAATGTGCAGTTTGTTTGCGATACTTTCAAACCGAGTGGTTTACTTAAAATGTGATGACCTCTTACTAAATAAAATAGTCTGAGATCATATAAACATGTTTCCACTATACGTCAAAATTTATCAACAATGTCCATCAAGTAATACATAATTTAATAATCGTACTTTTGAAACCTAATAGATAATTTTTGTCCACTATCATAAAAATTACTCAGTCACTAATATTATCTAATGCTAACATTATGCTAGAGTAGACTTATTCGTTGAAAGTTCTCTATATCTTAAAACTTAGAGTGACTTGAATGCTTTGGAGTAAATTTGTTGGAATTACCATAATTTGAGATTACGTACTGTTAACTTGAGATTTCATAATATCACAAGTAGCTTAGTGATGAGTCATGATTTATCTTAAACTCTGAGTGGTGTCATATTATCAATGAATTAGATATTTCCCTACCAAATGACTAACTAATTATCGTAACCAAAATTAATTTCGGTTTTACCAGTAAGTTTAACTGTCAAACGAACTTGTTCTTCTCGTAAGTACATTGAGATTCTTGATGAATTTTTTCTCAAAAGCTGAAAAGTATTTCTGTTGGTCTTTATGTAATTATTTTATCTATCTGGATTTTCATAAAGATATTCAGAAATGCTAATGTAAATGCTTAAATCTATTATTAGGTATTCAACTGAAGCTTTCCTTTTTTATCTAATTGTTCTTGATATTCAGTACTTCTTTTGTTTGCCTTAAAAAAGACGTACATCTTCGGCTGCTACATCATCGCTGAGTGCTGTTTCTGCCGGAATGGAATTGAGTAAGGCTACGAAGGTAGGTGATTTCTAGAAGCCATTGCTTTTGTTTAGACTTCATAAAATACTTCCGTTTTTTAAGACCCTAGTTATTTTTCAATGGTCACGAGTTATGAATTCGAATATAATCAAAACTGGCATGACTTTTGTGGCAACATAAGTTCATTTGAGCATTACCAGCAAAAACCAAGAGAATTTTCAATCTGCTTGCTACCAATTTCTCTAAAAACATTCTAACGTTAGCTTAACCTAAAATTTAGACCATCATCAAAGCGTTGTTGCATGAAAACATTCCAACACTAGAAAATCCTAACCATATGTCCGAATCACTGATATTAAATTAGTCAGTTAATTTGTTATCAAGACACGGAGTAAAGAGATGATTAGAAGAATGCTCTGCATATTTAAGGCCAGCATCATAAAAAATTGATTAATTGTAGAAACCGTACTAAGTCTTTGGAAGACATTTTTTTAAAGAAAATGTTTTAAGAAAGTTTCCGATATATCTTAAAGAATTTTGCAAATTGTATGTATTACTACATCGAAATATTCTGTTTACAGTCAGCCAAATAAATATTACACTATTGAATAAAATATTTATTGCTATCCCAAGTTTTATTCGAAGTTTTTACTGGATATTATCTCCGAAGGCATTCTGTTTTTTGGATAACTCCAGGAACGTTGCGCACAGCTAAGGCAACGTCGGCGAGCACAACCAACCGAAAGACAACCACTACCTGCTTTGCATCTGCACTTATCAAAAGATGGTACAAGTCCCTTGCCTCCAGGGTGGCAAAGAGCACCGAATACTAGGCGTTCGACAGAAGGGCAAGATCTAGGGGATAGTTCTGGCACATATGCTTATTATTATTACCATGTCCGAACTCGTCAAACTAGGTGGGATCCACCTGTATACCCATGGGACGCCGATCCTACGGATACCCTTCTTGGTGAAACCGGAGAGGATGACCCAGAAGCTCCTTATAATTGGGGATGTGCGTCGCGATTCGCTGTCACACACGAAGAAATTGAAGCTGTAAGTCATGCTATTATATTTTTGTGATTGTGTTACTGTGTATAGTTTTATTCTACAATTACTATTCAATGGAGTTCGTAGTCCTGAATTAGGTCTGTCCTACTTCATTCACCATTCTTCATACAACTTGGTAAACAAGTTTATTTTCTCGCCTTGAAGCATCTCCAAGATCGTATGACTTCGAATGTTGCTTCTGATGTCTCATGAACTCAACTTGAATTGTTCTTAATTTACATCCGAATTCTTTTTCCTCTTGTCCTTATTTCAACGGTGTTGAGAAGTCAAACGATAAACTGAAGCTTTTTCTGTTAAAATGTTTGTCTATAGTTCCAAAACTCACTCTTATGCACAAGTGGAATTCTTTAGAACCGTTTGTTCTGCTGTACGAAAGCCAATAATTCCCAAACCGAACTTATGTTACAGATGTATAATCGCGTGCGTCAACGAATATTGGAACGTCAGTGCATTGATCTTCTGCATGAATTGGCAGGCAGACCAGATGCTCCTCAGGATGTAACTGAACAAGGCTTTGCCATGGAAGTTAGTCCTTTTATTTTTCTCATGTGTTACTTTTTTGTCAATTAAACACTCCTACTGTTGAATCAGAGGCGTACGGGTAATTAAAATAAGGTGTTCTATCCACTTGAAGTAACATTTTAAGGTCAGGCTATGAAGACCGTATTGCATGTATGAAAGTAATGCATACATGCGTACATGTGTAAGATAGCCTCATCATTACAAGCTAGATTCAAGAACTGTTGAATATATATGATAACTTTATCCAAACACCTAGATTACTATGGACCACAGCTTGTCATGCGTAAACTGCATTTACGTTTTATAAATCTGTTGTTTACCACCTACATACAGAATCGGGCGACTTATTTTGATAACTAGTATAATCGGTTTTTTTAAATACATTAAAATTATTGCGACTTGCTAAATGAACAAACTATAATATTTTTATTTCAGTTATTCACTTTGGTTCACAATACGTTACGTGGCTTTCGTGATGCTCGATGTAAACTTGGTCGTATTGTTAACGATGAAGATTTATACTACTTAACAAAAAAGGTAGTTTACTCACTTTTGCTGTATACGATTGCTCTTTATAAGAATTCAGTTTTATACAAGTGCTTTTAAGGGGTCAATCGTTAAGGAACTGGTTTTTTTTTAGATTATCCGTAGTTGGAATAAACATGTAGAGTCTAGATTCGAAATAAACCACACTAGTGATTTTGGCAATTCATTGTGCAATATGTTTTAACATTATGAAATTACTGCTGAACCTACTAGTCATTCCTATTTTTCCAGCTTGCTCAGGCCGTAATCCTAAAAGAAATACAGAAGTTTCATCAAACCCAGGCAGCGAACACTTCTTTATTTTCAACTGTTCTTACTCCTGAACTCCCTTCGGCAGTTCGATCAAGAGTTACCACTTATGTTAGGCGATACATGGAATCTAAGGGAGCATTCTATCGTCGCCGAGTTCAGCTAATACCTGCAACGGGTATTTCTCGTCCGGAACAAGCAGCTCATCTTAAACCAGACCCTGCTATTTTTAAGCCATCCGTCAACAGTAGTATGCGTTCTCGACCTGTAACACATCCTCAGAATTTCGGCAATGTATCTCACCATACAAATTATGTAGACAATGCTTTTTCACAATCTGCTCCCCCCATTAATACTACTGCAGTTATTCCAACGCGCCGCTAACAGCTCAAACAAAAGTATTGCTTCCGTCAATATCTGTAATTGTACATTTTTAGAGGGTTCCTTTGTTCAAGTTTCTATTTTGGATTTTTATCCACTTGTTGCTTTATAATTAATTTCCCTATCATAGTGATATGTTATCGTCTTGTCGGATACTCGACAACCAGCTTGCGGTTTAAATATGGAAATTATCAATTCTTATTTAGGTCTTTTGTAAATAAACTTACAGACTGATTCTTTTGCAAGCTGTTTATTGTTATCCTTTCCCAAGTCTATGTCCGTGTGCCTATGCCCAGTAATCTCATCAAGTATGCAATTTTCCTGTTTTCTAACTTTTGCCTGTATTTAACAAAAAATGCAACGGCAGGTGTGATACATATGTGTTAATATGAGATTTGCACTATTGATTTGTAATAAAATTGTAATGAGAATCTATATTTTGTAAATTTTTTCCGTTTTCGATGTAATAATACAATTTTGGTTATGCTGAAAGTTTGTATTGTGATAGTATCCTAATTTACTGCGATCATCATTCAGAATGTGGACTCCGCAGTGAAATCATTCAAAGATTAATTACAATAACAGTGGAGACAGACTAAAATAAACAATAGCAACCTTATTCGTTAATTTATTGTAGAAAAGGTATACAGAAGGTATTGAAAATGTACACAACATTAATAGTTGATTGTTCGAAAGCATTTCAGTATCTGATTATATTATCTCCATATCCATTCTACTAAGTCCAGCATAAATTTCACTTGGTAGTCTGTGCGGAATACGACCAACATATGCTATCAAAGCCTTTGCTCTGGAGCGAATTTCAGAAGTAGCCATTTTTGAAGTGTTATCCATTCGCGTTCCATTGCTAAAAATGTTTCAATAAGCCAAGTGGGTACGAACATTAAACATTTTCATCGAGCAATAAAAAGTAGTTTCAACATCTACTTGATTTATCATGGAACTGACCTTGTGACAGATGCAACTCGACCACACTTCGCTGATAAGCAACGCATTAAAGCATATAATGCCCACGGCAGAGGGCGGCGTACAAGATCTGGGAGTTGTGAGAATAGCATCGCACAAAATTCTACATTGGAAGCTTGCGAATTAATTGGGAATAAACCCAACTGATCTATATGGTCAATAGCAGCTTGCCATCTTTCTGCATCAACTAAGTCGAAGAAGGCGGCCAAATCAAGGAGGTAAAATAATATTTTTATAGACGAGGTAGATCCAGTCACACTTGTTTCCACGTCATTTTGGACGAGATAATTACTATCATCTGATGATAAGCCTAATCGACGGACTTTATGAGCAATCTGTTTAGCAAGAAGACAGTTGAAATGATTATATAGTTTTATTTTATACTGTTTAGATTTCGATAATGCAATGAGAAGACGAAGTTTGTCAGAATTATGTAATATATTAGCGCAATACATTCTGAACAATCTGATCACACATATACTTGTTAAGAGCATTTATATACAAAAAAATAAAAGGTCAACTAGACAAGTTAAGGGTAAGTCGTAACAAAGGATAAAATATTAAAGTATACAAAACAAATGTGATTACCACTCTGGATAATAAATCAGTATTATCAGGGTAAGTTAAGTGTAAGGACAAATTGTTTTTGAACACATAAAGGGGGTTTCAGTTTACGTATAGCCAAGGCTTCAATAAACCTTAGTATACGTTCTTGAAGGTTTTTGTATAACACTACAAATGCTGATTTGTTGTCGACCTTATGACCCGTCTCAATCAAATGTTTCGCAATGGAGGATGATGTCTGTCTATCCTGTGATCTTATTTGACCATTGGAATCTATTTGTTTTTGCAACCATTTTGGTATGTGTTCACCCACCCTTAATTGCAAATCACGATTGCTCCTCCCTATGTACGTGTTTCCACATATACATGTAAATTGATAGACACAATCGCTTACGTGCTGTTTGGGCTTTTGGTGAAACATAGACCTTGTCTAAATAAGAACTTTCGTCTAAATTTGAACGAATAGTTTCACAATATTTGGGCGCCGAGTTAATGTGAGACATTGAAGACCTTGTCTTTTCAATAATGACAATCGTATCTGTACTAGTGATACTATTGAAGTCGAGACGAAGCTCCTGACTGGTACGTTAGTGAATAATGGTTATTCCTTGAAGTTCATAAACCGCTGGAAGGGTTGCAATACGATTAGACCTATGACGCTTCTGGCACCCAAAAAGCGAGTTTATATTACGTTACCATTCAGAGGCGACACAAATAGTCTCATGTTGAAACGGAGACTTAAATTAGCCATAAACCGGACATTTTATGCAGCCCAGTCATTATTGAAAAGACAAGGTCTATGTTTCACCAAAAGCCGAAACAGCACGTAAGCGATTGTGTCACATCCTACATTTTTATATTCTATACAAACTATTCACGGGAGCATAGGGACACTTTGAACATGATCACTACTTGACTAAGTAAACTGCACTTTAGTATGACTCGGTCAAAAACGAGAAATAATTTGTGAAAATAAATGTATATTTTAAGCAATCTGGTATCCTCAACACTGCGCACATGTATAGAGTGATACAAACTATTAACTTTGGATGCATTCACTAACACTTGTTAAAGTAAAATATATTTCCGGGCTCTTATGAGGCTTCATTATGAAAATATTCATTACACTGTTTACCGGTTTTATATTCGTTTAACCCGTACTTATTTAACTGTGAAGCTAACCTTTTTCCTAGACAGACTGTAATAGTGACTGTTTTTCCCTGTCGAGATCTTGGAATTCGTGCACTAGGTATACCATGCGGTGCTGAAATTATTGAAAACACTAATTTTTGAAGATGAACATAAAACTACCCTTGAATATTAAGTTTGGATGTGCGCCAAAGAGGAGCTTGTGACGATAATGTATACTAATCAATAATAATTATTAAGAACAATTAATGTATTTCTTCGTCCCCAAGCCTTCAAGCAATATGAACATTAAGGTTCATCGTGGTGGACAGATTGTAGTAAAATAATTGTCATAACGTACGAAATACGATAGTAAGAGCAAGCATACAAAAATTCAGAAAATAATGTTTGATGGAATTTCGTCTTACCTCTGTCGCAAGTCTCAGAAGTGAACTACGATCCAATTGTCCTCCGGATCGGGATTGCGTAATTGGTGTTAACCCAAGATCAGATGTTACTATCACACTTGATAGTACAGTATTTATCAAAGTAACAGAAACTAAAATGTCAGGTTTAGGATCTCCACAGGAAGAAGCTAGTAAATATAAATGAATAGCTTCAACTACTTGACCAGTGGACTCAAAAACATCAGCAACAATACGGATCAACTCTCGACGGGATTCTACAGACCTGCAAAAGCGGTCGATAGCACCAGGCTAAAAGAACCGATATTTGTAAGCAATTATATGTTGATGTAAGAAAGGCATATTAATTAAACGAAATATCAGGTGTAAGGTGAAATCTGAAATTATCTAAAAGGTGAACTATACTCAGGCACCTGCAGAACCCAGTAGGTGCAACTTTTGACGTCGAATACTTTAACATCCCTGATGGACAGTTAAATGTACTAATTTTACTTTTTATGTGCATTATACATCCATGATATAAATTACAACTTTCTTAAGTTACACAAACATGTTAGGAGACACGTTTGTTCCAGTTACGTAACACTAAACTGATAAATGATACTTTAAATGTCCGTTACGTAATGGTTCGACTACATAATTTTAAAAAGCGTTTTCGGTGCTGCGAAATAGGTCGAAACCGAATTCGCACTACGTTTTCACGAACTATTCGGCCTAGACGTCGATAGATGAAGACAATAGAAGGCGTCTTATGATGGCATAGCGAAGAACATGTGTGCATTTATGAGAATGTGAGTTTCGCAGCGCTACGCGAATTCAAGACGACGACTCGAAACTTTTATTTTTCTAACTGATTCCTATCTCTTTTTTGAAGACATTGCATTTCCCAACAGTATTATAGCTTGTTACGACCAGAATATCACTGTCCAATATAATATATCAAAAAAAGAGGTTGGTTATCTACAAAGTGATCTAGTCTCAATGGGTTAGCCATCACAAAGTGGCAGGTTCTACAAAACATACGTATAATGAGGATCTCAGGTAAATTTTAACTTACTTTGCGAATATCGTTTTCACCAACACATCCCAAGAGTAAATCTAACTGTAAACAGTAAAATGAAAGTAAACTGGTTACGACCATGTAATACAGGTGAATATTATTAAGTGGATTTTCAAAAAGCACTCAATTTAGTAGTATATAAACTACAGCACGAACTAATATGGTTTTAGGTAGAATGAATTCATGATTATCCATAGAAATCGGAAATCTGAAACAGTACATTATCTCGGTGTAAAAAAAATGTTAGTTTTACATTTATGAAGTCACAATCTGCGCGTGTAATTCGAGAAATTCGATTTAACTTTTAAAGAAAGAAAAATATTAGTAACAATACATAACGGTGTTCGTTGTGAATTTAAAGCTGACAAAGACAGTAAGCATGATAAGTTTACAATAAAATAAGACAGTCCAGGGCACAGTGATGTGCTGGACTATATGCAATGCCAATCGGTAATAAGAAGCTTAATTAAGAATTAAAAATAACTAGATAAGTTTTATAATAATGATAGTAACGTATGGATATTGGCGAACAGAATAACAAAGAGCATAACTGATAAAAATGTACACCCATTTTTATGATAAAAAAACAAATTTCCATATAACAATGTTATTTTGAAAGTGAAAAACTAACAGCATGCGTCAATATGATAGCAAATTGTGACAATTGAATAAATGTTTTTCCTCACATCCAGAGAACCATACATGAGGTTTCTACTTGCAACAAGTATTGGCGATATAACTTAATACACAGTGTCGTGACTTAACAACCTGAGATAATTTTTAGCAATAGAAAATTGAGTTCAAGCAGATGGATTTATTTCATAAGTGTAACATACAACCAACTAAATAAATTGACTACAGAAACTCGTTGATCATTGCAAAGGTAGCAGAAGAATATTTCCATTTCGCATTAAACGTATGGAAGAATCAGATCAACAGTCGAATATACTAATACTTATAGTTTAGACAAGATAGTATATGACCAGATAATGAAGTAATGAAACTTGGTAACTAGGTGCACATCCATGAACTCGTCTGTGAGTCACAACTGGTGGGAAAAAGATGGTAATATTACCCGCCTGCTCAGACCAATGTGGAGCGGAGTAAAAATTTGATTAAAATTTTAGTGCTTAGACCACTAAGCGATTGATAAGCTATCGAATAAGTCCGAGGAATGAACATGTACCTTTTATCACTAAGTAATTTGTCAAAATACATTGAGAATCTTGGACCTTAATAGGTTAAGAATCGTGATCCAACTATGGGTTTGTACTAGAAAGTATTGCACGATACAGATCCTTGTAAACTATGTATATTACTTAGCAATAAGA